CTCTATCGAACCGAGGAAGTGGGCTAACAGCCTGCCTAAGGGTAGCAGAAGAGAAAACCTCCCGACTACAGCCGGTGTTGGCGTGAGGAGGAAGGCTACCCGCGGGAAATTCCACTGCAATAAAGCACGAGGGTGGAGTCAGAAAATTCATAAGAAGAATGATAAGCTCATTCACGGAATAATTGGAGAGACGATTTTGAGTGTCCTACACCGGAAGAACGGTATGCATCATCACGTGAATAACGTGGTAACATACACCGAACTATAAGGTGTAGGACGACATAAAATCGCCCCAATATACCAGAAGACTTGAATTGGCTAAGCAAGACAAGTCTGAAACCTTAACCCCCGCGAAGGAGGGTGTCGGTTCTTCCTTCATGACCCGCGAAGAGGTCAATCAGGGATACGGAAAATGTAAATTCTCACCCCCAAAGAAAGAGGCCGCTGGAAAAGACGTCGCGGGAACCTCTTCCTCGCTATGCTGCTAATGAGAACGACTCCTACGAGGTCGAGATCGGCGTGGAGACATTGAAATCTACAACGAAAAGCAGCAAGTCAGGCACAATCTAAAATATGAATACACGAAATTTAAAAGGGAAATTAAGAACTTTAATTAAAATCCTATGTATAAATAGGATTTTATAGTTGAAGTCTAGTTAAACCTACAAATTTCGTGCATGCGAAACAATGATTGTCATTTTTTGCGGTGAATTTTGGTGAAATACCCAAAATACCCTTCGTGTTCAAGGCTAAATTCGGGTCAAGGACACGCTCGAGTTGGGTCATGGTCATCATATCTGATCATATAGCACCCCCGATACCCCACAATTTTGGTTAATTTTACAAATAAGCCCTTTTGTAGAATTTAGCCAATTTTGCATATAGACCCCTTCACAAATTTCAATTTAACATCCACATGCCTTTATCAAAACTTTGGTTATTGGGTTGTGGTCTAAACTTTTGGAATTTCAGCCCTAAATTTCAGCCCTTTTGCAAATAAACCCCTCTACACTTTGTGGGTTGCTTTTTGTAAATAAACCCCTCAAACAACATTGGTCTTCTTGCATAAAGCACCCCTCAAATCTTCGACCAAATGGACATGCAATCCAAACCCTAATTTCAGTCCTTTATTACATAAAGACCCCTACAAATTTCAGTCCAATTTTGCATAAAAGCCCCCTCAAATTTTCCTAATTTCAGTCCTTTATTACATGAACACCACCTCAATTCTCCGGCCAATTTTGCAAATAAGCCCCCAAAAAGATTTCGGCCCATATTTGCACATAAAACCCTCAATAATTTGTGGTCTTTTTGCATGAAACACCCCTCAAAGTTGTGGCCAAGTGGGTCTAAAGTCCAAGCCTCAAAATTTCAGTCCCATTTTGCATAAAGACCCCTACAAATTTTAGTCCACTTTTGCATAAAAGTCCCCCAAAAATTCGGCCATATTGCATGTTTTGCATAAAACCCCCCAAATACTTGTGCATACACAACCCATCATCTATTAGAATGAAAAGTTATGATCTTGGCATGTAGGTTCATGTTGTATCCCCATTACAAGCATAGAGTTACAATCTTTCTTGAAAAAGAAAAGGAAACCCTAGCTTGGAGGAGAGATTAATTTCGGCCAAGAGGGGAACAAATATCCGAAATCTTTATGGGTTTGGAGTTCTTGAAGGAGATGAAACAATGGTGGGGGAATGGAGGTAGAAGAAGAGGTTTAAGAGGGAAAGAATCCTCTTTTGAAAAGAATTTGGAAAAGGGGGGAAACAAAAGAGGAAAGAAAATTCAAAAGAAAGAAAAAAGAGAGGGGGGGACCTCGGTTTTGGCCAAAACACCCCAAGGGGTGTCTCGGCAAAACCGAGACACCCCAAGGGTGTCTCGGTTTTGTTGAGACACCCCTTGGGTGTTTTAACCTAATTTTGACCCCCCGAACCTTTTTCGAAGTCCGAATTTGCCTATTTTTCGCCGGTTGTTGGACATTTCGACGAAATCCACACTAATCAACGACGAACGATCCAAAACCCTAAGGTCAACACCGGTCAACGCGTAACCCTAGGTCAACGGCAGTCAATGCGTTGCAACAAAAGTCAACGTTCGATGATTCGAAATCCACACGAGTCAACGTTCGACGATTCGAAACCCTAGGGTCAACGCCGGTCAACGCGTAACCCTAGGTCAACGCCAGTCAACGCGTTGCGACCAAAGTCAACGTTTGACGATTCGAAACCCTAAGGTCAACGCCGATCAATGCATAACCCTAGGTCAACACCAGTCAACGCGTTGCGACCAAAGTCAACGTTTGACGACTCGAAACCCTAAGGTCAACGCCAGTCAAC